TTAAATACGTGTGTGCTAAACGTGTAGGTGTCGTGTCAGTTTATCGCTGTGGTGAGAGGCAGCCTCAGGGTAGCGGGTCTGGGCTGCTCTGAGCGGGGTTTGCCCGCTGGTAGCAGGGGGCGGGAGGTGCCCAGAACCCCGGGGGTCTCGGTCGCTTGGGGAAAGCGCTGTTGTTCTGCACTGGCTCTGGCCACCTCTGCCCAGGTACGGCCAGTTTCCCCAAGTTCTGAGTCCAGCAGGCTTCGGAGGCAGCCCTCCCTCCTCCTGCTTGGGCGGTTTTGCCTTGGGCTTCTCCTTGGTGGTGAGTAGTGGTGGGTGCTTCTGACATTTGGGAAGTTTTTCTTACGCGTTGCATAGTTACCGGATCTTTTCTCACTGTTCTGAGCTCTTCCTAATTGAGCAATAATACAGTGGATACACACAAACACGTTTGTGTGTTTTCTGGTTGAGTCCTACTGTGTTCCTGCATTTTGAGCAAACCTACAGAACTCCTTTGGGAGGAGGAAAAGCTTTCATCCAGCGGGATCAGCGTTGTTCAGAGTCGTTTGATGATCTGACAGTCAGTTATTGCGTAACTGACTGTCAGATCATGCTGCTGCAGCGTGAAAGTGATGTTGGAGAACTTCATAGGTATGTCGTTTTCTGAGAGTGAAGTTACAAAATACTCATGCTGAAAATTACTTTAGATAAGTGCAGTTGTTGGTGGAAAAATATGAACTGGGAGTATTCCTGTTCCCTTTGGAACTTTCCCAAGACTGGTCACTCCCCATTGAAGGTGTAGCTGATGTTTTTTCAAGTTGCACTGTCAAGGTAAGGAGCTCGGGATGGGAAGTGAAACAAACTTAATGTCCATTTAGGAAAGAGCACTGTAAGAGCTCTACTAGGTTGACCTACCTTACTTTGTACTGCTTATATTTTTAAATTTCATTTACCTTTTCCTCTGATGCTTTGAATTGTGACTCTCTCATGGGCAACACAAAAACATTTGCTCCAGCAGTGTCTGTGGGTAAAGTTTCAGTGTCTGTCAGCAGTCCTGTTTTCCTGCTCAGTCAGGAGATCCTACAGCCATGGGAAAGGACAACCTCAGAGTGCTGGCTACCCAGTTCTAGAGAACAAAGTCGTCTTCTCTCTTTAGGGAATTCCTTTGTAGTTCTGAAGGTATCGTTGATTTCAAGTTTTTTCCCAGCTGCTATAAAATATCCATTTCCTATAAACCTTGAAATAATGAAATTGTTTGTCTGTTAGTTGAGTTCCAATGTCCTATCAGTGTGGTGTCTGTTGTGGGTCATATTTGAAGCTAAATTCTGCAGCTTGTAGGAGGCTGATACTGTAATTTAACAGAGTAATTGCTGTTGTAGTGAGAAGAATTTTTTGGAAATACTTTTCTGCAAGGTCAATACGTATCACTGAACATCCCGTTCACTCGTGGTTTGAGGAGAGTTCCTGTGCTGAGGAAGGATGGGTCTGACCCGTGAGCCTCTCGTTGGTATTTCGACAGCAATGGGCTGTTCTTTACAGCTTAGGAGTGACTCTTGCAAAGTAATCCTTCCTTAGGGTTGAATGTTGAGTGCCTCCCCAGTCAGGATTTACCATTTTGTTCTGTCATTTTGGGAGCTCAAGGGGCTGTCCTTGCACCGTAACGCAGCCTTGGTGCCACCTCACTGGGCAGCAGCTGAGAAACTAACAAACCGGTGCAGGGTTTTGGAAAGGAAGAAGAGTGGGAAAAGCTGGGGGAATTAACCACAGTGACAGCAAAAGACTCGGAAGGGAGGCACTCTCAGTGATGTCAGCTCTGTGGGAGGAGAACAACTCCGTGAGTTTTAAGGCTGTTGAGAGCGGCGACTCAGTGAAGCAGTAATCCTTCCTCCTGCAGCCCGCGTGGGCAGATGACGAGGCAGGATGCTAATTGTCCCGACGATGGGGCGTAGGCTGGTGTCCAGGTCTGCTTTACACAGGTGAGCTCCAGAAAGAAATTTGCTTTGAAAAACATTAATCAACGCTATTTTCTTGTACTAGTAGCCCCTAAATCTAATGTAAGAAGAGAATCTTGAAGTTCCTTCATCCACAACATGTGCACTGATGACCCACCCTCTTCAGCTGGTGCCTGGGGAAGGGAGTGCTTTGGGAGCTGGCCCAGCTGGGCACTGGCTGCTGTGAGGTGTGACACAGCGTGGGCAAACTTCCACCTGGAGGGCAGCGTGTGGGGGAGATCAGAGGGGCCAGATGCTGTCACACAGCTCCTGAATTCTGTGAATACTGTGTCTGGATGTCATTAGTACCGCTTCGGCGGGATGGTTGTACCGAGGTGTCGGCAGAGAACCTGCGCTTCTCAGCACCAGCAAAACTGCATTTTTCATGCTGTACCTTCTTCCAGCCCTTCTGAGAAGAATAAGCTGCCCTGGCACGAGCGTTCTTTGTCTGTGTGTGGGTAAGGACTCTTGCTGGCTGCGTTGGTCAAGCTTAGCGTCTTCCTGTAGGCCCAGACAGACGTGAGCGTGACAAGAAGCCTGTGGTGTTGTCATGCCTTAGTGCTCCAGCGTGCGACAGGGAGTTCGTGCTGTTGGGCACAGGGCTGAGGCTCTTTGTCAGATTCCTCAGCAGGCTGTGGATCACCAGCTTCTGCACGGTGTTCGTAGGTGGAATTGGAATGGGTGAACATGAGCAGCCCGACACGGTGCGTTGTGATCGGCCAGATGTGTGTGTGCAGCATCCCAGAGAATGAACAAACTTGGTGTCCCGGTGAAACACTGCACAAAATAGTTCGGTTTATATCCCAGTTTTTTTAAGGGTGGGAGCTCTTTTAAGGAAAGACTGAGATTGCCAGTGTAATAGAAATTTCGTTTTATAGAGTTTCGCTTTCTGCAAGTTGATTTTCGCTTTTTATTTCTAGTGTGGCCACACCAAAGTTCGGGTCCTGGTATGATATACTTCAGCGGATCCTTTTTATAACATTCTGGTGCTTAGTTCTACTAAACTAAGTGGATGATCTTACTTTCAGAGTATTTGGGTAAAAGAAAGTGATTTAATTACAATGAAAAGAAAATAGCAACAATAAAAACCAGGGAAGTCAAGAGTAATTCTGAAATTTCTTCAACTATTTCTGCGTTGACTCGGTCCATCCAGCAGTGGATGTGCCAGGATGATGGAAGCGCTGATGCAGCCCCTCAAGACAAGGTTTTGTGGGGTTTTCTAAGTGTTCAGAAGGAAGAAAAAAAAAAAAAAAAAGATTGAACCCGGTTTTAGTAACAAATAAAAGCAGCCTAGGGTGCAGTTTCTTACTAGCGAAAAATCTGATGTTTGCTCTTCGGTTTGGCAGATGTAAACAATTAATTTGTAAATAGTACAAACGGTCCCACTTCCTTTTCCTGGAATGGGTGGTGGTTTTCTGGCTCTGACCTTGATGTGCAATCCTGCTCGCTCGCTGTGCTGTCCCTCAGGTACGCTGAGCCCTTAGCAGGAGAGTTTCTGTGTCGGTTTTGTGGCTGGTGTGCAGAGAGCTGCTGGAGAGAAGAGATGGTTTTACGGCCACAAGACGTGGTTTCTGCAGTCAGTGAGTTTTGCTGCGCAGCAGCAGCGTGCTGTTGTGTCCCAAAGTCACTTAATTACCGTGACAAACGTGCCCCTAGTTGATTGCACGGGGCAGGGAACACGAGGACAAACATCAGTATAATCTGAGGTGAAGTCTGCAGAACATAGAACAAAATTCTGTTCAGTTCTTCCATGTTACTCTTTAACTTCAGTTTCTTTTTGCAGTCTCGGAGGAAGGAAGCGCTGTCAGTGTTGTACAAACGACTGGATAAACTATCGAGCAGCGTTGCTTTGGAGGGTGAGAGTTTGTACGTGGGCAGGGTTACGTGTCGGTTCTTACTATGAGAAGGGTCCGTGGGATGTGTTAGTGGCGTTTCAAGCTCCGAGCAAAAGGGCACAGTAACCCAGAATAAACAGAACAAATACTGCAGTGGCCTGTTTGCTTTGGAAGGGCCAGATCGACCTCGCGTGGGAGCAAACTGGTGTTTCTTACCGAAGTTTTGGCCACTGTGTGTTTTTTCTTGTCGCACATTGAGATTATTTAGGTGAACACAAAAGCCTTCTCCGAGCCGGTACTTGAGTTTTGGAAATCTAACCTTGATTTAGTCTGATTTAGGTGTTTTGATGCGTAGTGGAAAAGTGAAAGTGTGTATGACAGCTTTCTCACCTGTAATCTAATTCCGTGAATAACCTTGGATTTTGGAGATCTTTTGATGCTGAGGCTCTTTTTTTCTCCCCCAGAACCTCGAAGTGTTTAAGCCACAAGTGCTTAGTATTAAAATAAGGCAGGGGGGTGGGGAGGGAGAGGCTCTCGCGCCGTTTGAACTGGTTTTCTCAGCAGCTGAGGTGGAATGACCTATTCCCTTTAACTGTGCCTTTGTTCAGAAAAGCGGGTGGCTCAGGTCTCTCGCTGGCCGGAGGGCTGCTCATCTGTCTCGGATTTTGGCAAGGAGATGGGGAGGAACAGAGGAGGTTTCTTGCTTATCTGAGTGGTCGTCTCGTGGTTTCTCTGGCCTGTTGAGTTTGCAGTGACTGTGGTGTCAAGGGGACTGGCTATCTTCTGTGTTCCTGAGGTCTGGAGTGTGCTGTGTCCTACTGCTTTGTGTTGGAGTAATGCTTCCTGGCATCAAACTGGGAGGGGCGTAGAGAGTGGTTGGAATTTTAGCGCCGTTATTCTGGCCCTGTAAGACTTGGGCTCATAGTTTTTAACCACTTATAGGTGCTTATAATGTTTCTTTCAGTGTCTTGGGGAAGAAGAAAGTGTCATGTAAAAAAGCTGTTTTGCAGAAATGTGTAAAAAGCCCTTTTTAAAGATGAAGTAATACCAGTCATCTCTAAATCCGAGAGAGGATGGCTGCTGAATGGAGAAGGGGAGACTAGTCTTTAGCTCTCTTTTCCTCAACAGTTTAATTTGCTTGATTATTATCTTTTGATTTACACTGACTTGTTTCTCTTCCCCCTCCTTTAGGCCCTATGAGAAAAAGGGAAAGCTAAGGATGCTGGAGCAGAACAATGGATTTCTCTTTCTCTTTCATGCAAGGGATCATGGGAAACACAATTCAGCAACCACCTCAACTCATTGACTCAGCCAACATCCGCCAAGAGGATGCCTTCGATGCCAGCAGTGACATTGCTGAAGATGGTGGCCGGACGCCGTACGAGGCTGCGCTGCAGCCAGGCTTTCCGTACGCGGCGCCCGCGACGGAGGACCTCCCGCCGCTCACCAACGGCTACCCCCCTACGAACCTCAGGCCAAATACCAGACCTACGGCCAGTATCCCAATGGTTCAGCCAATGGCTTTGGTACCGCCAGGAACTTTAGTCCCCCGGAGTATTACCAAATGGAAAACTCCAACGCAAGGCCGCACAAAGTTCTGGAAAAACCTTCCCCTCCCCAGCCGCCGCCTGCACCACCACCTTCAGTTTCACACACGGTGATTCCAAAGAAGACTGGCTCCCCAGAGATCAAATTAAAAATAACCAAAACTATCCAGAACGGCAGGGAATTGTTTGAGTCCTCTCTGTGCGGGGACCTTTTAAATGAAGTGCAAGCGAGTGAGTATGCTAAGGCGAAACACGAAGGGAGAAAAGAGAAAAGGAAAAAAAGTAGCAAGCATGACTCTTCCCGATCG